CTTTGTTTTTATTACGAATACTATGACATTAAGAATGTTAATGCGTGCTTAGTTTTAAATAGTACCAAAACAGGATGTAATAAGCAGTAGACAATAATAATTGTGAACAGTTAATTACTTCTTCCAAAGACAAAATACTTTTAATAGTATGTCTGTTAACAGATAATCATGCAATAAATAGTCACAAACCAATATAAGTAATATTATCATTGAAAACTCGGAAACCTTCAACAATTGTTTTGACTCAGTTTGAGACTCTTCAATAGTGACAGCCTATAACCCCTTAATATATGAGCACCTTACCATCCAACAATTGGGCTGATATCCAATTTTACTAGTCCCATCAACATCTAATGTAATTCTGTTCTTGCAGTCAGTCTAAATGACTCAACAATCACGACTCCTCATAAGAAATATGGGAAATTCATTCCAGTCAAGTCCCCATAAATCCAATATCTGACTATCAAGTAATTTGTCAATTAAGTGGAGCATGAGGACAGTTACTCAGTAAATGGCTTTCTAACTGGGACATAGAGCTTCAAGCCTGAAAGTTGCAATAGCAGTGAAATTATTTTTACCTGGGTAAGGTTGCTGGCTTCTAAATAGATTTAGATTTAGAAGTGTGTTAGCCAGGTGTCGAACCCAAGCCTCCCGCTTAGTTGGTGAGTATTCCACCAATGAACCACCGACTACGTTAACAGTCTGTCTCAGATTAATAAAGTTAGAGATTATAGACCACTGGATTGCACTCAACTGGCTCACCATAAAAATTGGCTGTCTTGAATGAATCCATCGTATTTTAAAACTTGTGAAAAGTCTAAAATTCAGAGAAAATAATCTGTGAGCGGCTATTAGTTTTCTGTTTTTCTATAGGTCATATTAATTTGTAAGGAAATGTAGGTTCAAATCAACCAAATCCCAACAAACTTAGATCTTGGATAATCCTTCCCATAAACAGCAGCCGAACGAAATCATCACATACAACTTCAAGTGTTGAAAAAAGACACTAAGACAAAACTGAGAGTTAGAATTCATGTGGTGGCCATTGAAACGGGTCCCATTGGCTGAATGGTATACGAGCTTCACCTTGTAACCGAAAGGTCCTGGGTTCGAACCCTGGTGGTGGGTGCGTACTGCTGATGATTCCCAAACTAGGCTGAAGACACAGCTGTCCAGTACTCCATGCTGGTTTTCAATGGTTCTCTAACTGTGATATCAATCCGTGGTGAAACTCGTAAAAGCGAAATCTAATCCTTACAAACCAACTCTTGAAAATTAATTATCAAAATTTGCCTGTAAACATTCTCTATAGGATTTAGTAGAAAACATGGACTAGTATATTTCCTGTTGTTCAGTTTATTGTCTAGTAATGTACAATGTTTACACAAGATAATGGTATAGTAAACTTTTTGTTGTTGTCTAATAAACAGTTTAATATTACTTATCATAGCATAGATTTTAAATGCTTTATACTTTTTAATTGGTGGATGGTGACTAACAGTGGAATACAGCATGCGCATTTCGTCCTGTTTGGGACTCGTCATCTGGACGTACCTGCATTTCCCAGTGAGTGATGATGTTCCAGATGACGAGACCCAAATAGGACGAAATGTGCATCCTTGATTCCACTGCTATTCACCATCCACAAATTAAATTATAATTAAATGCCCAGACATCGTCGAAGCATCTGCACAAGAAGCCAACAGACATGTCAACCTGAGACCGAGCATTTCAGTCTAATGAATCGACGGGAAAATCTGAAATTCAATTAAAATTTATACTTTTCTTGTCAGAAAAGTTGTAGTTAGTAACAGCAATAGTAATAGTAACACTAATGTGTGATAAATATAAACTAATGTAATGTCTTTTTCTTTCCTTAGACTATTCACAGTTAGTAAATTTTATGGACTCTTACGAATTTTAGCAAATTAAATTACTAAATTACATTAATAGTAGTAGTATTGTTATTACTGAAAATATTAATAAATTAATTTATGAACTAAAAGCTTTTAGAATGAACATGAAGCAAGCACATGTACACACAAACACATACACACACATACAAAAAAAGGAATTTTATATTGTCAAAGAATAAACAGCAGCAAATACAGGACTTAATGTTGTTTTTCTTTAGACAAAAAGATGAAAAAGTAACGAGTAATATACATTATTCACTTGAGTATTGTAATTTGTGAGTAAGGATTTTAATAAATTTTTAAAAAAATAATGGTTAGGCAGAATTTTACAAAGAGAAAAACATGATTTTAAGCATTTTTATAGTGAATTCCTAATAAGTAATATTCAAGAGTTGAATTCTACGGATTTGATTTGTTTTTCGAGTGTGACCATGGTTTGATATCACAGTTAGAGATCCATTGAAAACCAGCATGGAGTACTGGACTGCTGTGTCGTCAGCCTAGTTTGGGTCTCATTGGCAGTCCGCAGTCACTGGGATCCCATTCAATGACCAGCCCATGAACTTTAACTTCTACCAATTCGTGATCAGAATTCATGGGCTATTGAATCGCGTCCAAGTGGTTCAATGATATACGAGCTTACCTTGTAACTAGAAGGCCCTGGGTTCGAACCCCAATGGGTGTGTATTGCTGATGATCCCCAAACTAGAACGAAAGAGTTGTCCAGTACTCTCTGGTTTTCAATGGTTCTCTAACTGATATGAAGCCTTGGTCAAACTCGAAAAATAAGTAGTATGTTAAAATCTTAGTATTTTATTTGAAGCACATTTACTGGACAGAATTCGTTTAAAATGTGTGTGTAAGTTGTGTAAGCACTGCACACCACCTTAAAGAACCATTTTATTCAAATAATATAAGTATTTTTTTCAAAAAGAAAGCATGTATACAATATTGAATGTATGTATGGTATATTACTTAGACTAGTAGATACATGAACTCTAAGCTATTATGATTATTATGACAGACACTTAACAGTAGTATATGTTTTGATACAATTGACTTGGAATACAGTGTTTTCAACTTCTTAATATTATGAAATGCAACTTCATAAAGCTCCGTATTAACTATCATATTCTCAAGGCTGAATATATGTTGATAAGCCATTCAACTAAATAGGATTTTGTGTGAATTAAAATTTAGACATTATTCTGATGTGTTTGAAGGAATAGCCTAGCAACATGATTTATTCTATCCGCCCATTTTCAAATGATAACTCTAATGATAAATGCTGTGAATGGTATTTTTATTATACACCAACGGTTTTTATCCTATGTCACTTCTCAACGCGAAAGTAATATAAGGATTAACGGTATAAAAAAAAGACGTTGCACAGCTATTCAAAAATATCAGAATAAATTTGTTTAAATTCTAGTTGAATCGTTTAGCAATCCGCCTTATATAATTAGTCGTAAAAATCTTGTACTGTCAACGGAGTTGCATACTGGTGAAGGAGGAGTACGCATTGACGATACGATAACATATCTCACACATTTCTGAATTGACATTCAAAGTATTCGAAAGACTGTACTTTGCAATAGTCAAGATCTAGTAGTGTGGTGAGAGCTGTCTGCAAGCCAAAAGTGTAGACAACAATTAACGCCAATGTTTACGTCCCAAATCGAGGTCATGAGAAAAAACAATGGAAAGCTTGACCTTGAGGAACTCAACAACCAATCACAGTAGACTTAATGTGTGCAAATACGATTCGCAGATATATGGCCTGACTTTCTAAGAAACGGACACAAAGAGATGACAGAATAACCTCCAGCTTGAAAGCAACCAATCAGAAGACTTTTCTTCTCTGCTAACAATAACGAATAATAATGTACATAAGAATCTATAAATATCTGTTGATTTTCTCAATAAACGATCTGTTGCCTGGCCCTTTTCTTCCGTAGTTACAGTAGGAATGTGTCAACTGTAAAATTAAAGTCAACCAGAAGACATTACAGTGGACACCATTCTATGTAAACTCAGATATACGGCCTAAAATCTTCGTTTTTATGTATATGGTAATTGTCAATAAAAAAGAACATAGTGAACAATTATACTGGTGTCTATTTTGAGGAAATACCACAACGAATCATAGATTCTCATATAATCGTAGAAATAGAAGTTGGCTATAGCTGCTAAACTCCTGTCTTAATAAGAGACGCTCTAGAAAGCAGGTGTCTATCAATCAAAGCAGATCAATGCACATTTAAATCACGAAATGCCGGTTTTATCAGGCAGTGTATTCGATTTCCTCAGATTCATTATTCTCGAGTTCAAAATGAAAATGTAACCTAGAATACTGGGGAGTGTACTGATTACTAAAAACAACGGTTTATTCTTTGAACAACTGGTAGTTGAGACCAGTACGACAGACCAGACCTGCTAAACTCTTGCAACCTGCCAGTTACCTCAATAATTTTAATTTGTCTTTTATTCATTATTCCTCATCTATTTTACCATCCAGATAAGTTTCAGTCGGCTTGCATATAATGAAAGTTGACGTCTGCATGTAGTGTACCACTGAAAAATAACTAGAGTGCATTAAAAGCGTTCCTGAAATTATTTTATCCATAGCTCTAATTACTCATTTCGTAATTGAGTTACTAGCTTATTCCCATTCTTTAAAGCCTCACTAATCTTGTGAACCTATTTCATGAATTTAGCCAACTGTTACCTTTTCCTTATGTCTCCAAGTCCACTACTGCGTACCACCTTTATATATAAGTTTTCTAATAATTGATATTTGAACTGCTCCCACTTTCGCTTTTCTCCAGAGCCTATTGGATTTAAACATGGCGAATTTATTATTTTTTAAATTACGTTGACACAAACCTTCCTTCGACGATTTTAATACAGACTTTATCACCTTCTTAAAAGACTGAAGGTAGCACTAGGGATCCACTGGTTTTGCAACTGACATTTTTTCTTAAAGTATAACCACCGCTATTGTCTTCTGTGTTATTAGATATGTTGCATAAGAAGCACCAGTTCTCTTCTAATATATAATATTTTTTTAATCTTTCCACCTAGGCGTTATCCCCATTTTCACCGATAGCTCTTCGCATTATCTGTGATCATAATGAACCTCAGGCTGAGAAATGGATTTATGTCTACGAATGGTTGTCACCATGGTATTCAGTTAACAAGTTTACAATCAATCAAAATCGAAAGAGATATCCAGGTATTGCAGTCATATGTTGGTTAGCATATATCACAAACTGGATCAATTATTTATCACGATATGAAATCAATTATACACAACTTGGTTATTCACGTCCTGGGACTACAATATTTTCACGAGCATGGAGATTCACAGAACCAATCGGTACATGTTATATTTTTTCACATTCATTAACTTGTGGCCAAATAGCTATATTTGATGGATGGATTTTATGGCTTAGTGGTTTAGTTATGCAACAAATTACTTATATCTCTTTGAAATTACTAGATTATATTAATAAGAAATACAGAAAGTATACACCTCCATGTCGTTTATCTTCAACTAAAGATCCACTAAAAGGCTGTACTACATCTATGTACGTGTTCACTGATGTTGATGAGATTTAAAGTGTATCAAGTTTATTTTATTTATTTATTTTTACCTTAATAATGTAAAGCGAACGAAAACAACTTACTCAAGATATTATTTTGATTTTAATATTTCAGATTAAATATTTTATTTGTCATAAAAAAATTCTGTTCTTTAAAAGAATTTTCAAGGGATGCATTGTTCCAAATTCTCTTTAGCTGATAAAGAAGTAGATACTGAGTCGGAATTATAAGGTAGTAAATTTTTACTATGTGATTCAAGGTAGTTCACCACAGACTTGAAATAGCTTTCCAGTCGAATAATCCAACGTTCTAACCTACTCAAAATTATCAGTAGATACAATTTCCTGCGGTTAAATTACATAAATCAGGTGCAACTAAGATAAAAATTGTTCATTCTAATTAATATCAGCCAGCTTGTAGACTTTAGGATATTAGTGTGTCATACGAACCACTGACCGATGTGACTAGTTAGAAATAATCTGTGTAGCTTAGCGATCTTCGCAGCCGTCTCGGAAGTTCCCTAGTCAGCTTATTGACAAAGTACTTGGAATAATTTAGATAAGGAAATCCATTCTCATAGAAGACTAATGAGCCACATTTGCCATTTAATAATGTCTTGAAATTTGAATACAGTATTGTCTTCGAAAGAATTCTCAAATGATGTAGGGCATTGTGGAATAAGAGTTTCCACTGTTATTTGGCAACATTAAATTTGAAAGCGACTAAATAATATCGAATTTGAACAAAGCAAGAACAACAATTGTACCAGGATAATATCTTTTATTATTTCGAGGATTCTTCTCAACTGGTTACAACCTGAACGATGAAAAATATGAATTACATTACATTAAAGATTTGAACATAATTTTCCACGATCGAATTCTTCACACCGTTCACTAAATTTGTGAAATTTCCTGTAAGTCCATATTTATTAAAATTGAGGAAGTTAGAAACAAATTACATTGCGGCAATAAGGCGTGAAACTACTTCTGCCCACAATCAAATCCACTGTTATTTATACGATTTACTCAAGTAAAGCCCATCCACTCACTTTTCTTTGATCACTATAACAACTTCATAGTTATGCGATTTTAAGCTTAGAATCGAAGCAAATACCTACATCATTTTCAGTTCAAGATAAGGGATACACATGCTAGGATCCATAACTATTACGGTCTTTCTATAGCTCCCTTCAGAAACTAAACCTTACTCGAATTTATGATTTTCTCCAAATCTAGTATATTCAAGAATAAACGTAACTGCTGCCCTCATGACATGAATACTTGAGCACTCCACAATAATTAGTTGTCAATGAAATACCTGTTACACCATAAAATAAAACAAGCATTAATAGTAATGGTCTTGACACACTTTAAGAAAGAATACACACATTGGCATTTGAAATACTGAATAACGTTATACTTAACCTCAGGATGTGGAGATTCCGACTTAAAAATGACATCACTTTGTCCATTTCTGCATAATTAACTCTTATTCTCTGTACATCGAGCCAATCACGACAGGTTTACACAAATAGGCTGCATTATATCGTCGCCCCCACTACAAACTTAGATTCATGTGACCATTTCCTATGAATGCCTCAATAGTTTTTTTCTCAAAAAATCTTCACGGAGTATTTACTAACTTAGTGTGGTAACTAGGTATAATTTGGTAGACAACTAAAAGTAATTAAGACACAGAAGTAAACTATTTTTCAACCAAAGCACCATGTGTCACAATGAAAACGAATACGTCCCTATGTGTGATGAGTAAGGACAGCAACAAGTAACCCCAGTGTAGTAATAGCTTGTTCTCATTTATGCATAATTTGGTTAGGTCGCTTATTCTCCTCCACCTCTGTCCAGAATCGATGTGTTTTGCAAACTAAACCATTACTCAATTTCGGGGTAGTACATGACGCTCGTATCTCCAGTGCGCAACAGAGTGGAGCAACTTTATTCTCATTTGACCTCGTCAAAGGATAAATAAGAAACTAAATTACTGATATTCATTCCCACCTAGAAAGCTTGATCTCAAACTACAACAGAAACTAATGCTCAAGTGAGCAATCCACTGGAGATACTTGAGTTTTGGAAAGCATACATTATGAATTTCTATATCAAGCAGTCTTGATATGGTTAGTATCCCTTCTAGTATTTTAGTACAAATGAGGAATCCTGGCCTTTTCTGGAAATGGAATAGTTGGTCAAAACCAAAACCGGTTTTATTCCCTTTGAATATTGACTAATAGCAGCAAACTCAATTGCAGTAGATATCATTTTCCATAACTGACTTGCTAGTCCCCATCTTCAAGTACCTAAACTATTTATCACACACGAATGTAACTATCCGTACATCCCAAAGGGAAATTATCTGATGCTGATACTTAATGGAGGGAGTGGTGAACACATCAGAATGACGGGCATTGATCTAGTAGATCTCCCGGGGTCAATCTGCTGATTTCAAAAATTGTGAAGCTTGTGGTGAACAAATCGCTTCTCATGCTATGGCTGGTTGCTTTACTGAGATAGAATAGTCGTTTATATCTACTACTGTTTGGTTTGATGCCCATCTCCTGAATGAATGATGCCAGACACTACAAGATCAATTATCAGAAATAATTTGGACTCAGATTTTTAACAAAGTCGACCTATTCCTATATGCTGAGATTAATATGTAAGTGTTAACATCGTGAAAATGAGCTTTCACTTGCTGAGGAGACACTTTCTTATGTATCTGAGTGCCACCCATCATCAGGACCACAACTATGAAAAGTGTAATCTCTTGGAAACAATTTTAGAATGAAAAGTTTAAACTTAATCATGATCAGACACTGTACAATTGTCTTCAGCTCGTTTACAGCTCTCGATTACACAAGAACGGCCAACTTACACGATGCTTACCCTTTATTCTACGTCCAAAATACACTAGTTGAAAACGCTTGCCACAAAGGATTCTGAACAGTGAATGAAGACACTTAATCACTTAACAGTAAAAAACATCAAGCACAAACGCAGTACTTAATTACATAGACTCAGAGGGTGGTGTACTTCAATAGTCTTTTCGTTACTGTCTAGATAATCGAAATTTAATTTCTTAGATATGTTAACCATCTTAGAGTATGTCATGTTCCCACAAAGTTACCGACAAATAACTCAATCAAACTTGCTCAGCCTTTAAAGACATTTGTGTGAGATACCTCAGTTTCACCACAGTGATTGTCATAAAAAAACATACTGAATATTACCTGCTGTAGTCAAACGTTTACATCCTGTTTAGGTCTTCCTGCTCTGACTTCTTAAAAATGCTACATCCAACCTAGCATGGTAACATGTTTTAATCGCGTCCGAATTCTGCCATGACAACTTAATCGTCTGCATTTCGTGCGCTTCCCATGAGAAACACCGCGTACGCAAATCGACGTCACCGTGATTTATATATATATATATATATACGGTATCCAGCGTCCCAGTTGAAGTAATGAGCAAAGAACCAATATGGCCTACGAGCTACATCAGGTAACCTCATATACTGCTAGTAAGTAATTTCGTTTTACACTCACCCCATCTAGAACTAACAGGGTTAGTCATGATTTAAGAAAGTGCACCACTTCACACTTCAAATGATGTAAATCCGTTAGCCCCTTAAGGTGATTGACTATATACGACTGTCATTCAATGCACGGACTGAAAGCTGTTCAGATAGTGAATGAAATTATCGATTTTATAGACCTGTTGTGCTCTAGCAGCTAAAACCGCAAGCCTCAATATAATTCTAGTAAGCCAAGTGGTAGAGTATAAATACAGTTTACTGAACACGTGCTTGCTATTCATATCCAAAATTCACGGAGTGAGAAATTCGCACGCAAATTCCGAGGAGCAAAATCTCTTTAAACGGTAACCATTCGTACTAACCAGTAAAAAAACCAGCAATAACGCTGATTTGAAACCAACTGTTTAAACGTTCCATCACCAGCGCCTCCATCTTTAAACCCTTGTAACTGCACCATGTCTATGGAGGTTTCAGTTGGCTGGTATCGAAGGAAGCCATGACAATATCTGCTAGACAAAACAGTACGAGGTTGACAAATGTCTCCGACTCCTGCATAAAGCTAGCTTTTAGAAAACTGAAATGTGTGTGGGAAAATATAAAAGTATTTTGAACCTAAGGTTAAACAATTTGCATTTTATAGTATGGCCACTGCACAATAAAGCTTCAAATAATTTTTGGTCCAATTGGTCTATGACGTTCAATGAGCTTTTTTGCAACACAACTCTAACTTAAGAGAGCAGATGCCGGTTATAAGGGTGGCGGCCGGAAATCCGAAACTCAAGATGTTGAATAGTGAATGTGTTAATAAATACTTCTTTCGTTATATTCCTTATAAGCCAAAACTCTTAAACACCAATAGTGTAAGCGTCGAACAACAATATTCGAAGTCCTTAAGACTGATGCCTATTTCCACTCTGTAGACAAATTATTTAGTTAAGGTGCATCCATTTTTCTGCTGATATAACCAGAGATTACCACTGCCGGGATCACGCCGTACTCGAATTTCTAAACAAACAAATAATTTGATTCACCATGCGTATCATGTAACAGTTTTCCGCCAGTTCGAAGTTGAGAAAATGCGTCAGGGTTACAGTCCGCATTTTTACTGACTAATTCAACTCCCAGTTTGTAACTCCACTGAAAACACACTTGTGGCTGAATAGTTAAATTAAATAAATGGTCAAAAGTTACCTCACTAATAGCAATGGAAATGTATCATAGCCCACAGCTGACTCTAATGAGCTACTGTGCTGAAATTGAGCTTGTTGCCATAAAGACCACCTTCGAATCATGGCATGCTATTAGGATTTTAGCGCTGAATACAGGGCATTTTCGGGAAAAATATCATAAACCAGAAAGAAGCAGACATTCTCTTGAAAACATGAGTGACAACTGACAATGGTTGGATAATTCCAGCTGGTCCACAATCATGTTAGTGTCGACTCTTGGTAGATATATCGAATATTAATGAGCACTAGGTGCATGTAAATAAATCACTTAGCGCTTATAAACTCATAACCATACATAGTGCAAAAATAAGCATGTTGCCTACATTCCCAATAATAATACAGAAGAAGAAACAAGATAATC